TCAAGTTTAAATTTCTAATGATCAATTATGATATAGATATTAATGCTCTAAAAACACCCTATGCAACTTCTTCCTGTAGTTTTTATACTTCTAAGGTTAAATAGTTTGCTCTAAAACTTAAGGTGATGATTCTTTTTCCTCATCGTTAAATTGTTAACATCACATAATCCATTTAGTAAAAATGTATGGTATATTTTGGTTTAAATAATTGGTTTTTGGAACTCTTGAATTATTAACTGTCATAGTTCTCTATATGCATGCATCAACACTTGTATTTCATAATTCCTGAAATATAAAACTGAGGAAGTGAATTTGTAAATATGACAATATATTTAAATAGTTACAACTTACTGTTTTAATATTAAGAAAATAAGGCTTCAAAATACTGGTCATTTTGTGTATTTTTTGACACACAGATGCTCTCAGCAAGCACCAGTTTCCTAATCTATTTTATGGTAGACTCTAAAAGTAGCTTGTCTGTTTATTATGATGGAGCATTTGAGCATTTTCTAGGTTAAATCTAAGTATGCAAGTAAGGTAAGTTTATATCAACTACTTAATAAACAAGGCCAGACTATTAGCAGTCAAAGTAAGATAAGAAAAAGGTTAATACTTAGGACAATGACTGGCATTTTCAACATTGTCCACCGAGAACTCTGTTTAAGTAATAAAATCAGTGTCTGCAAACTTGTTAACAGAATCTCTACTCTGCCAATTAATGAATGTCTAAAAGTATGGGCAAGGACACTGCGTGACACAGTGACCCTCATCTCTATTATCATAATTATGCTTTAATGAGCATGATCTCTGAATAACTGAATTCTCAGCATAATAGCAAGGAGCAATTGTTTGTAGCAAATACTATTATTACATGGAATTCCTGTATAGGAATGTAATATTAAATGAAAAGGAAAAAGGCAGAAGTTAAAGGGGAAAAGACTAAAGAATTATGCAAATTTAAAAGTGTCTTACATTTGTACACAAATAAGCTATATTAACCAGGACATGTATTCTTGCAACAACTGCGTAAATGTCTAATATGCACGACATAAAACTGCTATGCAGTGTGGTTCATGAACTGAGGCCAGTCTGCAAATTGTTTACTACAAATTAATGATGAAATAAGGATCTTGTACCAGAGATGGGAATTATGTCACTAGCACACTGAGTTCAGCTGACATGCTTTTTTTTTTTTTTTTAGTATTCTTTTTGATGAAAGCAGTACATTTATATTCTGGCAAAAGTTCTTTATCCTGAGAATCAGCAATAGTTTGTGGAAAAGCTACTGAGGAGCACTGTCATAAAAGCATACCACAGTGCCTAATGGAATAAACCACACTTAAAATACTACATATATAACACCCTTTTATTTACTTCAAATGTATTAACTTCTTTGAAATTTATAGTCTTGACCTTATTCTCCTAACTTTGCAACACTTAAAGTGTATCTGTCACATGGATGACATGATATATCAGATAGGTAACAATACTATCAGACTTTATATACAAACACCTGTGGGCAGTTAATTCTCTATTAAATATTCTGAATTTAGACTGGATGGTGTTTGATAAAGTTAAGTCTAACAAGGACCTCATGTAAATTAAGCAATAAATTTGGGTATTTTCATCAGCCTTTTTTAGTAACTCCAAAATCTTTGTAAGATACTTACTGATGATTTTTGCATCATTCCTTGAAGGACTTTTGATCAAGCAATAATTCAGGCACTTTCACCATGTAGAAAATAAATATTCTGAAAAATCAACATATAGCTAATGAGCACATGAAACAATCTAAATAAATGGAAAAAAAATAAAAAGTTTCTAGAAGATGGTGTTCCACTCTAATTAAATATGTAAGTTCAAATAAAACACCTTTCTTCTTCCATAGGAAAAATCTGTTGCAGACTTTCTTTTTAAAAGAAAGTTTTATAACAAGACTGCTTTCCACAGCTACTGCTTTTTAAAGAGACCAGAATTAGAGTTTGTAGCCACAAAACATGTAAAAATTAACATACCACATAAAATTTCTATTTTTTAAATCTTATTTTCTTGCTTTTTTATGGAAGCCAATGTAATTTCAGCTATCATAATCCTTATTTTACACAACACAAAGATGTTCAAATGACCTTCAGCTTGTCACTGCTAGATGGATTTATAAATTATTTCAAAGTAGGAATGACAGATTATGTTATTATCTACATTTTCTTAATAGGCTGTATCCTCAGTGCATAAACAATTCCCAACACATAATGGGTGCTCAAAAATAGTTGCTAATAGAGCTGAAGGAAAAGGAGAAAGAGGAGTTTAGGATGACTATGAAGTATCCTATATAATAAAAAGGTAATATGCAAATTGACTGAACTGTGGAATGACTGGTCGCTGTGACACGCACTGACCACCAGGGGGCAGATGCTCAGAAGCCGGGCTCATTGTTGGCAAGTGCAGTGGCAGTGGCCAGAGCCTCTCCTGCCTCCAAAGCAGGGCTAAGGATGTCTGACTGCGGGGAAGCGGGCCTAAGCCATCAGTCAGACATTCCCCAAGGGCTCCTGACTGCAAGAGCGTGCAGGCTGGGTTTAGGGAACCCCCTGAGTGCACTAATCTCATACACCAGGCCTTTAGTATAACATAAGTATAGCTGATTTATGTTACCACTGAGAGAAAAAACAAAACAAAAAAACACACGAGAGAGAGAGAGAGAGAGAGAGAGAGAGAAGAGTGTAAATAGAGAATCAAGTTCCATTCAGGTACTCTTATTTCTGTGGAAATCTTAAATGGTAATAGCCAGAGGGGCAGCTAAATATATAGGTTTGAAAGCTTAAGAAAAATGTATGGAATAAAGAGATATCTGGGAGGCTTCACCATATAGATGGCAGTTAGAACTATAAGTGTGGGTGGTAAGAGAAGAGGGCCCAGAAAGTAAAATTTTTAGAAAAATCAACACAGGGGAATATGTGAAGGGAGTAAGGGGAAAAATAAAGATGAGATTCTAGAAGGAAACTAAGAAGAAACAGTCTGGCAAGCTACACGAAAGCCAGAGAATTATGCCTCAGAAACCAAGACAGAAGAATTTTAGGAAGAATATGGTCAACACTGTCAAATTCTATAGAGACTGAGAAGACAGTTAGGGGATCTGGCAGTTAGAACATCTATACTAATAAAAGGGCAATATGCTAATTAGACTGAATAGACCAGATGTCTTCTGGACAGCCTTTCAGACAAAGTTGCAGCGGCTACAAGGGCCGAGGAGGGCCTGCAGCTCCAGCGGCCGGTAGTGGCAGCAGCAGCAGTGGGGTGATGGGCACCGCGCCTTCCCCTGATCAGCCCCGTTGCCTCCTGCAGAGGAGGCATGGACCCAAGCTGTTAGTAGGACATCCGCTGAGGGCTCCTGGACTGTGTGAGGAGGCAGGCTAGACTGAGCAACCCCCCCAACCCCTGCAGTGCACGAATTTTTCATGCACTGGGCCTCTAACGTTAATAATAATGATGTTAGTAAACATAGATTCAATAGAGTGTAATACAATGCACTTTAAGAAGGTTCACTATGAAGGGAAGGGCATAAGGTGCTAAATAAACAGGGATGCAGGGTAAGGGAAGATTCTGAGTTGTATATTTATGTATACAAAAATATTATCACATGATTGTGTTCAGCTCCCTTCCTTCCACCCAAATCACCCCCTTTCTCTGCCAGCCACCACCCCCCACCTAACACATGCCTTATTAGTAGCCTGACATACATTCTTTTGGATTTTCTCCATGCTTATAAAATTTTGTACAAATATATGAACTCAAATGAACATACATATTGCTTTTTAAAACATTGTTCATATTACAAAATTAGGTATTATAATTCTTTATCTTAATTTTTAAGTCAATATCTTATGAAAATCCTTCCAAGTAATTGGTATAGTATATTAAGATATATTTTTTCATAGTTATACAATAGCCTATCATGTGGCTTTATTCATCAATTTATATAACCAATGCTCTATCTGACTATCTATTTATGCTTTTTCTAGTCAAAACAGTGCTATAATAAACACTGGATATTCCCAGAAGTGACTGATAGATCAAGGTGCATAAGTATCTTTAAAAATGTTTTTATAATAAACTTTGAACTTAACATAGTAGACAGAATATTATATTATATTGAACCCCCATGTACCCATTACTCAGCTCCAATAGCCATCAATCTTTGGCCAATCCATATCCTCTATTCATCCTGCTGCTATATCATTGTGAAGCATATCCCCATTCAAGTTATTTTATCTAGAAATATTTCAATATGTATCTTTAAAAGATAAAAGCTCTTGTATTTCACCAGCTGTTGTCAGACTGTTTTTCAAGACTGTAACAATTCACACATACCTCCCTTTTCCCTTTCTTCTATTAGTTAACCAAGTTTATAAGTTGTTGGTTTATTCTTCCATTATTCTTTTAAATTTTTTAATTAAAAAATTACAATTTACATTCAATATCCTATATAATAAAGAGGCAATATGCAAATTAACCCTCCCACCCTCACAAGATGGCTGCCTACAACCAAGGTAGCAGAGGGGTTAGTGAGGGAGAACCAAACGACTGAACAAGCAGGCTGCGTGGGGTGACCAGGCCAGCAGGGGAGGCAATTGGGGGCGACCAGGCTGGCAAAGGGGGCTATTAGGAATGACTAGGTGCGTGGTGGTTGGGGGAAGGGCAGTTAGGGGCAACCAGGCTGGCAGGGGGTGGGGTGGGTGGATTAGGGGCGACCCACCCTTTAGTGGGCATAAATATCAGCAATTTATGGGGGGTAAATCATGAAAATAGGGCAATGGCATCGTGACTCCATTTACAAAGAGGACATGTAGCAAATAATAGGTTATTAATTCACCAGTCTTACTAACTATAATAGCTAGCATTATTCTAAGGTATTTAAGCATTTTATGTACTATAAAGTAGAAGTAAAATGTTCTACTAAACATTATGTCAAACAAACAGTTGAATATAGATTATCTGAAACAAACCTGTGTAACTTTCATCATCATCAGATAAAGGCACCTCTCTTTTTAGTAGCAGTTCCAACTCCTCTGTTTCTGCGACATCCACTGGACGTTCTCCGTGTTTATTAGCTTGAAATGGATTTGCACCATGACGAAGTAACAGTTTCACTATCTGAATTAAATAGTAGGAAGATTTAGTTACTTCATACTTGAGTCATTTCAACCATTCCTTGATAACATTCATAACATCATTCTGCTTCCATTTCTTACAGTGTGTCTCTTCTAAATCATGATTACTCTCTTCAAGTTCCATTTTCATTGCCTTCCCCCATCTGATGATCTTACTTACTAAAAAGAAATTTCTTCCTTAAAATTTAAACTGGGCAATTTTAGCAGTGAATCTCATCAGTTTCTTCCCTTTTCATCATATATTCAGCAAATTATTTATTAAGAACCTATTAATAAGCACTGCTCCAAGTTCTGAAGATCAATCTATAAACAAGAATGACAAATTCCCTGGCTTCATGTAATACGTACAGTTGACCCCTGAACGGGATTAGGGATGCCAACCCCCTACACAGCTGACAATCCATGTATAACTTTTGAACCCCGCAAATCCTGACTACTAATAGTGTACTGCTGATCAGAAGCCTTACCAATAATGATCAATTAACACATATTTTGTATATTACATACTGTATTCTTATCATAGAATAAGCCAGAAAAAAGAAAAATTTATTAAGAAAATCTTAAGAACTGGTCAAGATTGGCAGCAAAGGAAAATATGGTACTCATATCCTCCCACAACATTATCAAAATTACTACTAAATTACTCAATAAGCAAGAACTACAAGTGTTCCCCTTTCAATCCGGAATAAGACAGGGATGGGTGTCTGCTTTCATCACTCTTAACATAGCACTAGAAGTCCTAATTACAATAAACAGATAAGAAGGAGAAACAAAGACATCCAAACTGGAAAGAAAGAAGTAAAACTGTCATTATTTGCAGATGACATGATACTATAAATAGAGAACTATAAAGATTCCACCAAAAAAGTACTAGAACTGACATATAGATCAACATAACAGAACAGAGAGCCCAGATATAAACCAACGCCTTTATATTCAATTAATATTTCACAAAGGAGGCAAAAACATACAATGGGCTAAAGATTTCAATAAATGGTGCTGCGAAAATGGGACAGATATGTGCAAAAAAAAATAAATAAAACTAGATCACTTTCTTACAACACACACAAGAATAAACTCAAAATGGATTAAAACTTAAATGTTTGACTTGAAACCATAAAAATCCAACAAAACATAGGCAGGCAGTAAAATTTCAGATATTTCTTGGACAATATTTTTTTTTCCTGACATATCTCCTCTGGCAAGAGAAACAAAAGAAAAAAAATAAACAGAAGTACATCAAACTAAAAAGTTTTTGCATAAAAAAGAAAGCCATCAACAAAATGAAAATACAGCCCACTAAATGGGAGCACATTACTTGCCAATACAACTGATAAGGGCTTAATATCCAAAATATAAAGAACTTATACAACTCAACATCAAAAAAAAAAAAAAAAAAAAAAAAAAAAAAAAAAAAAGAAAGAAAGAAAGAAAACACCCCAAAAACAATCCAATTAAAAAATGGGCAGAGTACCTCAATACACACTTCTTCAAAGAAGAGAGATGGATGACCAATAAACATTCAAAAAGATGCTCAATGTTATGAAATGCAAAATAAAACCACAATGAGATATCACTTCACACCTATCAGAATAGCTATCATCAATAAATCAACAAACAACAAGTGTTGTCCAGGATGTGCAGAAAAGGGAACTCTCATGCACTGTTGGTGGGAATGTAGACTGATGCAACCACTGTAGAAAGCTGTACGAAGTTACAGCAAAAAATTAAAAAAAGAACTGCCTTTGACCCAGCAAGTCCACTTCTGAGAATTCATCTAAAGAAACCCGAATCAAACTCACACTAATTTGAAAGAACATATGCACCCCTATATTCACTGCAGTTATTTACCATAGATAAGATTTGGAAGCAGTCCAAGTGTCCATCAGTAGATGATGGGATAAAACAGCTATGGTACATTTACACAATGGAATATTACTCGGCCATAAAAAATAAGAAAATTTTACCTTTTACCATATAATTTCACTCATATGTGGGATCTAATGAACAAACTGAACTGACAAAGCAAAACAGAGACAGACTCATAAACATAGAAGAACTGATAGCTCTGGGGTGAGTAGGCTTGGGGAGTAAAGGGACTGAGCAAAACAGGAGAAAAAAAGGAGAAAGAACTGACCTGCCAGTGTGGCTATGTGGTTAAGTGTCAACCCATAAACCAGGAGGACAGGGTTTGATTCGTGGTCAGGCCACATACCTAGGTTGTGGCCTCAATCCTCAGTGTGGGTGTGCAGGAGGCAGCCAATCAATGATTCTCTTTTATCATTGATGTTTCTATCTCTCTCTCTCTATCTCTCCCTCTTCCTTCTTTTCCAAAATCAATAAAAATTTATATTTTTTAAAAGAAAACCTATTTGGAAAAATAGTGATGGAAAACTTCCCTAACCTGGTGAGGAAAATACACACACAAATCCAGGAAGCACAAACAGTCCCAAACAAAAGTCCCAAACAAAATGAACCCAAAGTGGTCCACACCAAGAATGGTTTAGCTCTGATATTAACATGCCAAAGGTTGAAAATGCAAATAAAACTTAAAACCCAGTATGGTCCATAATATTACAGCAAAACTAATAAACATGATGTTTAGAGATATCATTAATTTGTGAGCACATATAATCATGTTTGAGTATAATACCATGTTTTTATTATTATTATATACAAATAAACCATCTGAATATATTAAATAAGTAATGTCAGCTAAAATGCTGGCATAAATGTTATGTATATAGGAATCATTAAATATTAATAACTAAAAAAAGATAGGCAGTATGACACTGTACAATTTTTATTGTAAGTAAAATCCACTTTAACCACTGTATCTAGTTGTGTGACAAATGGCCTGGAAATAAAATTTTGCCAACCTATATAATTAATTATCAAATTAAATAAATTTTATGTAAATATAATACTAAACCTGACTATGATAGGAATTAACAGGTCAAAGGCAGATAAAAATAAAAATAAAATACAGATGAGCTGATCAGGCAATGAGTGAAATATGATAAGAGAGTGTATGACTAAGAAGCAAACAAAATTACTCTGGGTTGAATTTATATTTTGAAAATGAGTATTATTGATTTTTCTATCATACTTACATCTCTATGCCCACTACTAGCAGAATCATGGAGTGGAGTGTCATCATCTAATCCTTGTGTGTTAACATCTGCTCCAGCTGCTATAAGTATCTTAGCAACATCGTAATACCCAACATTGCAGGCTTCATGCAGTGGTGTCCAACCTAAAGTTAGGATATTAATTTAGGCATATGGTTCACTAAAATGCAGTAATAAATGTTATATATAGAGGGATCATTAAATATTAACAAGTCTAAAAAAAGTTAGGGAGCATGTCACTACAATTTTTATTGTAAGTAACATCCACTTTAACCACTACATCTAGCTATTTTACAAATTGGCCTTATAATAAATATAATTACATATATGTATGTATATATATTTCCATGTATATAAGCATACATTACATATTGATTCTCAATGCACATAGTACAGAAAGAAAAAGGAGTGACAAACAAGAAATAAATACCTGGGAACATCACTAATCTTACAGAAAGTTCATTCATGATATTTCCATTAAATCTGAATTATTTGACAAAATATTAAACATTTACACTTATCCAATAAATATAAACTTGCTAAAATTTATAATCATCTGACTATAGAAAAAATAGAAAAATGAGGCAAAAGTTAAGCTTGTAAGGGTCTTTCATTCAGCAAACAAAAACCTCTTTGTTTTAATGGCTTTCATCTATTAAGTCAATACAATATTTTCTGAAATTAATATTTATTTAAACTGGAGTAACTTTATCATTTTCATTACTTTTATATTAGAAGAAAGTTATATGTTCATGAAAGAAAAATTAGAAAACATAGAAACTACAAAGCATAACCCTAGCTGGTTTGGTTCAGTAGATAGAGCGTCAGCCTGCAGACTGAAGGGTCTCGGGTTTGATTCTGGTCAAGGGCAACATGCCTCAGTTACAGGCTCCTTCCTGGCCCAGGCCTGTTTGGGGCTCATGCAGGAGGCAACCAATTGATGTGTTTCTCTCACATCGATGTTTCTGTCATTCCCTCTGTCTAAAAATCAATGGAAAAATATCCTAGGGTGAGGATTTAAAAGCAACAAAAATCTACAAAGCACAAAATAAGCATTACCCATAATTCCAACACCTAGATAGAATAATTTAAATAATTTCACATAAATCCTACTAGCTCTATCCCTCTCATATCTATAATTTTAAAACAAAACTTGGAAGGTTGTTTAACCCACTTCTTTTACTTACTTTACAATGAAAATAACCCGCATGTCACTTTTCTACAATATAGTATTATTAATATACTGATTGAACATGCCATAATTTGTTTAAACAAGCTCCTATTGCTGGACATTTAAATTATTTCTAATTTTTAAAAATTAGAAACAATGCTGCAACAAATATCCATATAACTAAATCTTTATGCACATTCATAATTATACAATTAAGATAAATGCTAGAAAGTGAATTGTTAGACCAAAGAAAAAGTACAAATTTTTTATTTCCGATAGATGATAATATCAAGTTTAAGTTCATTCTTTAAAGTTGATATTGTATATCACCCTTTCCCTAATTCACACCCAATAGAGAAATAAATTCCAGATGTATTTAAGTAGGGATACGTGTAAAAGCAAAACACAAACAAAATTTGGAAAAAAAGAAAACATAGGGATATGGTTTTATGATTTAGGAGCAGAAAATACCAAAGAACCCAAAAATGGAAATAATAACTTATATGATTATATTAAAAACTTTAGTACAATAACACTAAATTTGTTACAAATTAGTACAATTTCACAGTAATGAAAATTCAAACGTGGTCACAGAAAGTAAAAATCTTTACATATTCAATAATTAAAATCCACATTAATATGAAGGGCTCTTACATATTAATACTACCAAACATAAGAAAAATGGGCAAAGAACTGGATCTCACAATTCACAGAATACAAGAAATATTCAGTTATTACTAAGAAAGTCCAAATTAAAGATCTTTTTTTTCAATTGCCAGAGTGCTAATAATTAAATCTATAATATCTACTTTTAGTGAATATGTGGGGGGGGGGGGGAAAGCTCTTTGTACAGTACTCTTGACGGTAAGGTAAACTGATAAAAAGATTTTTCTGGAGGGTCATGTGCCTGTATTTCAAATATTTTAGGATATATATTCCCTATGATTCAGCAGCTTTTCTTCTAACTGGAATACTGACAATCCTTCCACCATAACTATACCCAAAGATATTTCTACAAGTGTTCACTAAAGTATTGTCCATATAATGCATACAGTTGTTGAAATGATTGAAGTAGAACTATTTGTATGTACTGATAAACACATTGAGTAAAAAAAGGCAGGTAGAACTAAAGGCTGACACAAATATTTGAGTAATTAAAATAAAATGCCACTGCCCTAATCAGTATAGCTCAGTTGGCTGGAGCATCAACCCAATCAGCGAAAGGTCTTGGGTTTGATTCCCAGTCAAGGCACATATCCAGGTTGTAGGTTCGATTTTTGGTCAGGGTTCTATTGTTCGTTCGTGTTCTCTCATATTCTCTCTCTCTCTCCCCCTCCCTCCCTACCTTCCTCCTTCCCCCTCTCCAAAATCTAACCCTAAAGATTAAAAAAAAACACACTACATCTCTTTACAGTCCTTTATGTTCAAGTTAATATCTTGAAAGACTTATAAATTAACTACTATGAAAACATTATATAACTCTAATTCACCAAGAATAAACCTAAATAAGATTTTAAGAAATTTTTATAATTTGTCAACTAAAAAATAAATTTAATATTTAAAAAAAATAAATTTAATTATTGACATGGAATTATAGTGAAGATCAGGGTTTTATGTACACAATCCAAAACAGTTCTGTAATAAAGTGTGGTTTTAGAATTCTCTGTCTTTTTTTTTTTTTTTAATAAAATATATTTTATTGATTTTTTACAGAGAGGAAAAGAGAGGGAGAGAGAGAGTTAGAAACATCGATGAGAGAGAATCATCGATCAGTTGCCTCCTGCACACTCCCCACTGGGGATGTGCCCACAACCAATGTACATGCCCCTGACCGGATTCGAACCCAGGACCCTTCAGTCCGCAGGCCGATGCTCTATCCACTGAGCCAAACCAGTTTCAGCGAATTCTTTTTTTTTTTTTTTTTTTTTTAACAAGAAGGATAAAAAATGTAGATTAAATTGTATCCAGAACCTGTTTAAATTCTAAATTTTAGTTCCTGATAATTAGTATTTAATTATAGGTCTTACCTGCAAAATCTTTCACATTCACATTTGCTCCTAAACTTATTAATTCTTTGACTTGTTTCACATCTCCTCGAATAGCTGCCATGTGTAAAGGAGTTTCACCACGTTCATTTCGTTTATTAACTTTATCTTTTTGTCGAGATGAGGAACTGGGAGTTTTCTTTTGGGCTGGTGTTGTTTGTGATGGATGATTTGGTGTGGAATCTATAAGAAAGGAGAAAGTTAAAAGTTCTAGGCTAAATATTTTGTACATTCATTTAAAGGCTTTTATAGAAAATGTGCTAATTTCTGGAACAGGAAGAATATCTTCTCACCCTCACAATCTAAAACTTGACTTGGATTTTACCCAAATACATGAAGTAGATTTTCCTTTAGGATTATCAAATATTGCATGAGCCAATTTAGAAAAAATATTTTATTCTATCTATTCATAAAATTGGTCTAAAATGAATAATAAAGAATCAGGCATGCATACTAAAAGTGTCTGCTCAATGAATACTTTGAAAAAACTGCTACTATTCTAAGACCCAGATGAAATGACATTAAGACTAGAGACACACCTCTGACTCAGACAAAGTATTGGAGTTGTACTCTGATATTAAGTACAAACTAAGGTCTTGAATGATTTTACTATGAAAATGAAATTTAACAACTATAAGAAATAGGAAAGGTTGGGGAAAGGCCTTTAAAAAAAAAAGTGCTTTGCTATGATTTTCATCTTCTGATTTGTTTCAGTTTCTCTATAAAAAACAAGAATGGTAAAGTAGATGATGTTCAATGTCCTCTCCTCCACATTTCATAAATACTGGGGGGTAAAAGAAAACAAAAACTAGTTTCTTAATCAGTTAAGGATTTAAGACATATGTATAACATTAATAATTAATTCTAAAATTTACAACTATTTAAAAGAAACAACTGCTCTAAGAGAAGAGTCCATGGAAAATAATTTTCTAGTGTAGTTAGAGCACTAACATAACATCATTCTTTCCTCAATAAGAAAAAAAGATTAAAGTTTACCTTTTGACTTTTAAGGTACATTTTGTTATTATAAATTTCCCATCTATATCTATAACATACTCTCCATAAGAGGAAGGACCTTATCTATCTTATTTATCACTACACCTTGAGGCCTTAGACTCGGCACATGGTACTCACACAATATTTGTTGAATGAATAAATGAGTTTTATTGCAATTTTTATAGTCAAGTTGTTTATTAAGAAAACTAATTGTTGAACTTCTTAAAAATAAAAGGACATACTTTTTAATTCACACAACTTGCAAGGAATTTATTAAAATATTGTTAGCCATGCAAAAACAGTAATCACACATACAAGTAGTACTATCCATAATGGCAAGCAGATAAAACATAACAAAAACATGGAAAATTAATTATGAAACAGATAAAACAATGAACCCCAAACTCCAAGTATATCAATATGCTGATGGCAAATAGTTTGATATTCCTAAAGCTTTGCACTCTAATTCTATATTCTCTCTATATAAAAGCCAAAGCAACCATTATGATCAAATGATCAGAACGACCAATCAACCAGTCGCTATGATGCACACTGACCACCAGGAGGCAGACATTCAATGCAGGAGCTGCCCCCTGGTGGTCAGTGTGCTCCTACAGCCAACCTCCTGTGGTCCCTCCCCCCCCAGCTGACTGGCCAATCCCCCATGGCCCTTTCCCCCTACCCCTCCTACTGGCCAACCTCTTATGGCCCCTCCTCCCAGCTGGCCCCCCCTGGGGTCCTTCCCCCTGGCTGGCTGGCCCCCCAATAGGTCTCAATCACTGGCCAGGCCGAGGGACCCCACCTGTGCATGAATTCATGCACCAGGCCTCTAATATATTAATAATGTTGATTAAGATATTTCTTTGAATAAAAACAACCTATAACAGACCAATATTTAAAAAATGACCTTATTTATAGTTAAAAACAATCTATAACAAAAGATAATAATATATTTACAAGCTTATGGCTAGTACATTTCTAGAAGAAATTGTTAATAGTTATTGTCTTTCAAGATAGCAGGTTATTAAGGAAGAACTTTAACTTAATGTCTTATTGTATTTGCTCTTTAATTTATTCTAAGGATAGAAGTTCATGATATAAAAAATAAGTTTTAAAAATTAAAAGTCTTTCCATCTAACTATTATATCTGATTCAAAGTCAATATTTTACAAAAACATTTCAAGTTTTAACACTGTAAAAAATCTTTAACTTGACTACATTCTTTACCAAGGTAGGGGTTGAAAGGTGGGACAATAACCAAAACCTATTCTACTTTAAAACAGCAAAAAGCCCTAACATTTTTATTAGTGAAAGATATTAGGTATACTCATGCTTTGATACACAAACTCTAGAAATTTTAGCATGCTAAGTTTTTTTTTTTTTTTTTAAAGAACCAACACAGGAAAAGTTCGCTGGAAAAATTGTGTCTTTTTCAATGTACTTCAACAAGGTCTGGTGCTACCCAAAGTCTTATGCAAAGATGCCTTGAATTTAGAGCTAAAATAATTTTTTTTTATACACAAAAGTGATATACTTTCTTGTATCACTCAATGAGAATTATACAACTCAAAACTTTTCTTTTGTGTTGTTAGCTGTCAGAATGCACAGCAAAATTCAATGCTTAAAGTAATAACTATATCAGTCCACCTATCTGAGTTCCTTTTAATAAATTAGCAGGTTGTTTGGTTTGTTCCATTTTGTTTTGGTCCTGATGGTAAGGCATTTTCAATTATTTCTGGGGGCACAGTACTTGAATAAAACAAAACAAAATACACACTTCCTTAACTGGAAGTGTGAAATGAAATAATGAGATAAATTTACATAACATACTGCAGATATTTTTTCTTTTATAATAACCTAGATCTTAAATAATAAAATAACAATAAAACATGTATTAAACACTTATTTCTAAAAGTAATAATATGATAAGATCATTAGTTTATCACCAGGATGCTAGTGAACTGAAAAGTAAATTATAAACCTAGAAGCAACTTTATAGAAATGGGGGTAAAAAATTTTTCAGTGAGATAAAAGTACATAGTTCAGCAACAGATTTCTCAAGTTGACTAACCAATTTCTAAATTGCTCATTTTAATTGACAAGTATTTACTGAATGTCCACGAATGCAAAGATCCCTTCTCTTGGGTAGTTTCTCATCTAGTGGAGGATACAAACAATAAACCATTGTCACACAAATAAATGTAGTTACAAACTTATGTTACAAGAAATTCTGACTAAATCTAGGAATAATAAAAATTTAAAGTAGCTAAAAATAACTGTTACGACAGGCTGGAGTTGGAGGACAACTAAGAGTAAACATGAACTCAGTGATGGTAAATTTCACCTGGACTGTTGTCTCTTGCTGTCATCTGCATAAGAAGTGCCATCTGCTTTCGCTCTGAGAGTGGATAACCAAAAAGAATGCTAACTGGTGCGGACTTCTTATTTCCAGCTTCCTTTTTTGTTTTCTTCTTTTCTGGACCTTCTTTCTCTGGAATTATTAATAAGTATATAAGAATTTGAAACAAATGTAAGCACTCAAAAGCAAAACTCTAGGGGGAAATCGGGGGACATCTATAATACTTTCAACAATAAAGATTAAAAGAAAAGCAAAACATAAGATGACTTTTTAAAATTATATGTTTTACATGTATATGGAAACGTGTGTATGAACCAACAATAGGGAGATGAAAGAGTACCACACTTTTATTACATTATACAATTTTCTTCCTAAATGCTTTTAAAAAAGTTATTAATTCTATTGTTTTCAGAGAACTAATAACATCTGGAAATTTACTCTAAGTAAAATTTGTATTTTAATGATTTGTTCTATTAAAAGTTAACTTCAATAACATTTCAAACATTCCTTAGTGTTACATCTTTGAAACTTGTCTTTCACTATAATTTTATACTTTTTAATTATTGGTAAGTCAACATAGCAATGCTCCTTCAAATTACTTCCCTAATTTCACTAATGATTTATACAATCTTCTAAAAAGATAAGTATATGAGACAAGTCTCATCATACAGAGCTATTACTGATTTAAAAAACACTACTGAATCACTTTATTCCAGTCATAGGAAAGTTGAACAAGAAATGTTAAAGTTAAAAATGAACAAATTAAAGAGTCTGTGTGTGTGTGTGGGGGGGGGGGGGGCGGTTAACAGAGATCTGGCAAAAATTCAAAAATGTCTAAAGATTTTTCAAAGCGATTTGATCTGTCTTAAGGTAGTTCTAAACTTAGCTATTTGTGAAATTCTTTGGCAATACAAACAGTATTCCCCAATAATTAAGATATGAGAAAATTAAGATGGAACTGGATTCTACAGGTCAGAGATACAGATGTCTGTTCTTTTTTGTTGGACTTTTCTGAGAGTTAATTCAGAAGGTCCTATAAGAGCTAATGCAGCCCAGCCAGTGTGGCTCAGTGGTTGAGCACTGACCTATGAATCAGGAGGTCACAGTTTGATTCCAGGTCAAAGCACATGCCTCTATTGTGGGCTTGATCCCCACTGTGGGGCATGCAGGAGGCAGCCAATCAATGATCTCTTATCAGTGATGTTTCTGCCTCTCCCACTTCCTTCCTCTCTGATTTTATATATATATATAAAATTTCATTTTTTAGGAAATGATGCAGATGGTCAGCCTATTAACTACTGAGGCATCTATGTCTTGGGAAAACCTATACAAATTATCTGGGATTTTTAAAAAAATATATTTTATTGATTTTGTACAGAGAGGAAGGGAGAGAGATAGAGAGTTAGAAACATCGATGAGAGAGAGTCATCGATCAGCTGCCTCTTGCACACCCCCTACTGGGGATATGCCCGCAACCAAGGTACATGCCCTTGACCGGAATCGAACCCAGGACCCTTCAGTCCCCAAGCCGACGCTTTATCCATTGAGCCAAACCGGTCTCGGTTATCTGGGATTTATTGATCCAGATTTTAAAATCTTGCAGAGGTGCTACAAAAATAAATAAATAAAATTTAAAAACAAACTTAAAAGCAGCAAAAATGAGTGGAAGAAGAAAAGGCTTATTCATAAGTAGTGTGGCCAGCAGCTAAACTACTCTAGGAGATAGCATTTATTAATCTAGCAAGTCTCAAGAAACCAACAAAAGTTTGATACTAAACATTAAATATTACTTATAGCATAGAACTTAAAAGTAATGTTTCTTGCAGTGTACCACTTAATTAAAATATACTGGCATCATAATGATCTAGAAATTTGAGTTCCTAATATTTAAACTCCTCTGCCCACAAACCACTCAAAATTCAATAGCTCCTACGTTGGCTCTTTTGTTGATATTTGAGTTTTTATAATAAAAATTTCAAGCCCAGCCGGTGTGGTTCAGTGGGTGAGCATCAACCTATGAACCAGGAGGTCACAGTTTGAATCCTGGTCAGGGCCCAGGCCCAGGCCCAGGTTGTGGGCTTGAGCCCTGTTAGTGTGGGAGGCAACTGATCAATGACTATCTCTCATCATTGATATTTTTCTCGCTCTCCCTTTCCCTTCCTCTCTCTAAAATCAATAAAAAACAACATATATTTAAATTTTTTTCAAGATTTAAGTCTTTATTGAATTCTTAATATATTATCTTAATTTTCCTCATTTCATTATCATTAATGATCTAATTTAGTATAAATCCAGTTTCAGAAAGGTTTCATCTAACTTTTTACTAATTATATTACAATAATTAATTTTAAGTGTGACAGAAACTACTGTCACACTTAAATATTAAATATTTTATAAAGCACTTAACAGGTGTTTTAGAGAAGCCTATATGTTTCTGAAAGATATACTTTCTCCTAATAATGTTCTGCTCATTTTGGTTCTCTTTTATTATTTCTCTTAATATATCTTCCCTACTTTCCTTAAAATTTTCACACTGTAAAATATTTTATTTTTAAAATACTTTATTTTCACCTAAAAATAAAATATTTTGCAGTGTGAAAATTTTCTAGAAAGTAGAAAAGATATATTAAGGGTAGTAAGTAAAATCTAGTGATTGGAGGAAACAAAATAACACATAATATCTGATCTTAAAATAATTTCTAAAAATTTTGGGGAAACTTTTTTATTTTCTCATTTGCAAAACAACTGATTATTTTTTATTTTTATTGCATTTTAATACAATGTTTTAAAAATTACATTTTGAAAAAGAATATACAAATTGAATATACTCCAAATATTCAAGCAAATCTTTGAATTAGATACTAGCATCCAATCTGAATTCTATTTTTTTCTTTGAGAGTCTCTAGTCATTTTTCTGAGTTTATGTTTAACATGAGTTAGAAGAAGAAGGTAAGTAAAGAGTAGCAGGTGTACAAAGTTAGGTTAGAGATAACTATATACAAGTCTTCAAAATTATAAAAGTGTTACATTAACATATCCCTAAGTATGCTGTTTCAAGTTTAAAGCACTGAACAAAACATTGGCTATCTTGGATCTATCTTGTGAAGAACTTGTTTCCTTTGACCTGTCTTCTCAAGTTTCAGTAACTAAAGTATGTGTTTATATGTATGTATGAATAACCAGTCGGCAATTTTAAAATTTAAACACAGGAATATTGACACGTGTACTCATTTAAGGTACAGTCTACTAGACTTGAAATTGCAGTCAGCCACCCTTTATTTATATATTTTAATTCAAGTGATTTACTTTATGACTAAAGAAAAACAGAGAAATAAACTTTTCAGCAATTCCAACATTCTTGATTTCAATGTTCAGAGATGATCTTTAGAAATATGAAGATGTTTCAGTCTTATTATCTCAAAAATAATGCTTTTTTTCAGATCTTGTCAGAATTAACAGAAAGTTCAACACTGTCACATCCAAATTAAGTATAGAATATATTAAGGAAAAGAGACAGAACTGTTTTCCTTGGGTCTTGCCTGGGTGGCTTAGGTAAGTGAAGTGTTGTCCATACATCAAAAAGGTTGCATGTTTGATTCTTGGTGGGAGTACGTACAGGAGGCAACTAATTGATGTTTCTCTTTTACATCAATGTTTCTCTCTTTCTCCTCCTTCCTCTTTCTCTTAACACATATCCTATGGTGAGGGTTTTTTTTAAAAAGTGTTTTTCTTTGAAAATTGTTGATACAATTTACCAGCATCTCCAAAACTAGAGAATATGGCATTTTTCCACTAAGCAGCCACTGTGTAAGGCAACAATTCAAATACAGATGAACATAAGTACATGAGTCATGTCTGGAATGTGTATATTTAAAGGCTGAGGAAAAAAATGTTGCCATTACTCTTTGGTTCTAACCTATCTATACAAATCTCTAACAGCTGGGTGCCTATATACTAGTATTTGGATTTCCATCAAAGGTACTCAGATCATGAATGGCTTCATCCCATACAGCTCTTTCAGATGCACCTGGCACTTAGGAATCTCATTTTAGAAAAGTACACCTAATTCCACAGTAAGTGAAGGTCTTTTAAATGTAATGCTGATTATAAACATGACCTCACCCCCAAATTTGGATAATCAAATAAAACTGACTTATCAGCTCAATTAACAGTTTTCAGTATAATTTTAAAAATAATTAGTTGGTTCTATACCACCCCTATAAATTTATTAAATAAAGTATGTCAAAAGCAGAAGGTTTATTTCATATTTTATAGCTAAATGTCAAATGCTGAAAAGCAGACACTTAAAGACCTAAAGACTAAGTAACATTTTATATTAAAGAACATTCAAATATTAGAATGTGAGTCCATTAAAAAGAGACAACACAGTTAACTAAGTGTGTTGTATATATTCTCTTGTATTCTTCTATCTGGAGCAATTATGAAGCATAATACCAGGTGCCATAACTGAATAGAGAGGTTCAACACAGCTAATAGTAATGACATTTTCCCAAGAAATCTGGTGTTTTAACCCATTTTTTAATTTCAACATAGGCAGCAAAGTCTATAGATTCAAGAGTTCAACTTGAAAATTTTCTAAAACATGTTTTTAAAAAAATACTGCTTAACTGAAGGGTCACATGACACTGTCTATAAAAAAATACTTGGTATACTTTATGAAGGGTATATAGCAAAAGAGACTAAGCATCTTGGTTATCTTCCCATAGGGGGGCTGTTACAAGAGGTTGCCTTTCACATTATTTTCTACGTGAATGGTGCCCCATGCTGTACTGCACAACACCTAAGTGGCAGTTAAACAGTAATCCTACTCATAATGTTCATACATAGCATGAGTTGGATGTGATGTACTGATATCTCAAACAAAAGGTGGGAAATCTGGTGTCATGATGTAGTTCACTTATTCAAAGATATTTATATAGTGGTTTGAAAATAAGTTATAGTACAATAATTAATTTTAAATGTGATAGAAACCACTGGCTAAACAGGAGCCCCTAAATAATCTAATTACCTGAGTATGTCCTGTAAGAAGATATAAGTCTCTCCCCCCAATTTTCACTTGTATGTCCTGGATCTGAATCTACAGAATGAGAAGAGACAGGAGAAAAGAAAAAAAGCACACGAAGGGAAATGCAGAATTCAACAAGCCAACATTTGTCAAAAGACCACTAGTTAGTCAATGATAATGCATTGCTTTTCCAAAAGTTCATTTTTAGGTAAAGCCAAAATTGCACGTAAGTAACACACACATTTGGCCCATACCTAAGATTTCAGTTTCTTCAATTAGAATATTAAAGTTAGGAAAATCAACCATGCAATTTTCAGTAGATATTACTGATGCTGATTATTAAAACATATCATGGCCTTTAAAGTTATATACATTTTAAAATTTGTGAATAATGATAAAAGATGCAGTATTCTATCACTGTTTTTCTGTTTATAATTTGTCTTTAGAAAGCTTGAATGGACTTTAATCAGCATTTTTGTTTTAAAAGGGCCAAACATATTCAGAAAACAATGGAATACTTTGGACTATCATATCATTCTAGACCAGAGAACTTTCTATAAATTATACACATTCCCAATGGTTTGCAATACTACACTAAACCACTACTAAAGACGTCTTAGAAAGAGTAACCTCAATCAAAGTACACTTATCAGTAAGAATATGTAATTCTGCCTAACAATTCAAGATATATACAATATGAAGAATTGACTTTTGATAATATGGCCAGAGCAGATATGCCATTTTAACTCACAATAATATTATTCTAATACTCATATTCTCAACTTATTGAGACACTTTTCTTTCCAGTATCATTATTATGGACATTATATCATTATGAGCTCAGTCAGGCATAAGAGAACAGAAGTATTTAAAAAACCATTTAGAGACCAAGCAACTCCAAAATGCAGCATTTGAAAAATTTAAAGATAAGTCTGAAAGTTTAGTAATGAGAAGGCTCACTCAACTGAAAGTGAAATCTAATAAAATAACATCTAGACAAATTCTAAAGCAAGTGGGTAAATGGACTAAATGATAAGCCTTTCAATGGACACGTATATTTTAAAACAGAACACATTAAGTTAACAACTAGAAGAATTCCATGAAGAATATTTAAAATTTCATTTAAGGACAGGAAAAATTCAAAATGGTCTCCACAGATAATATAGCAAAGAAAAAGTGACAAACAATAAGTTGTGCCAAAAATAGAATTAAAGGGATTAGTAAAAGCAGATCATATTATTGTGATAGATTCAAGCATAGTGGATAAACTGAACTTTCAATTACATTCATTAATTTAACGTAGTAGTGTAACAGTTCATCCAAATCTTCCTTTGGAAGTAATCAACACACCCGCACTCCACCCACACATCCCTTGGATTTTATTCAAAAAGAAAAAGTATGTTCATATTTGGGGTATCTCAATGTGTATTCTATGAAGATTTAATTGAGGAATGGAAAATTATAAGCTTCCATATCCTGTTCCTTCTATGATATACTGCATCTAAACGGTAATGAGACTATAGCTACCTACTGAGGTTTTGTAAAACTCTTTAAGTGTTAAACAGAGCTACTATCTCTCCCTTATATGTTATGCATAGCAAGGCAAGACAAGCAATACTTATATTTTAAAAGCAATCTTTAAAGCTAATATGCTGTTTTGGGTTGTAGGAGAATAAGAAAAAATACCAAGCATGATTTTTTGCACTGTATGTTTGAAGATTTTATAAAAAAGGGATGGGAGTAAGTCTGTAGTAAATAATCTCCATGAAAATCATCAAAAGGTGATAAGTATTGATTTTATTTGCTATTTTAACAGCAGAAAAATTGTTTTATTTTTAAAAAACATTTTTATTGTTTTTTGTTACCGTAGAGAGAAAGGGGGAAGAGGCAGAGTGGGAGGGAGAGAAACTTCAATTTGTTGTTTCACTTATTTCTGCATTCAGTGCCCTGACCAGAAATTGAACTAGCAATCTTGGTATATCAGGACAATGCTCCAACCAATTGCACTATCTGGCTAGGGCCTTGCTTGCTTTAAAAGGGCCAAACATATTTTTGTTTTAAAAGGGCCAAACATATTCAGAAAACAATGGAATACTTTGGACTATCATATCAGTCCAAAGTATTCTTTCTTTCTCTTTCTTTCTGCCCACTTCTTTTTTAAAAAAATACTCACCTGAGGATATTTTCCCATTGATTTTTAGAGAGTGAACATGAGGAAAAGAGAGAGGGAGAAACATCAGTGTGACAAACATCAAATGGCTGCCTCTCACACATGCTCAATAAGGCTTGGGATGAAACCTGCAACCCAGGAAGATGCCTGGACTGAGAATTGAATCAGTAACCCTTTGGTGCTCTAACAACTGAACAACACTGGCCAGGGCAGGCTTTGTTTTCTTATTTTAACCAGTTAACTGCCACAATATTTTGAATTTAATTTAAAAAGGTCTGATGCTTATGGTGTACAAATGGTTAAACAATTCCTCTTTCCAAATTTGCTTAAGTCATATTAAATAGAGTAAATTCTTTGATGGCATCTAACACTTAAGGAAAGTAAAACTTCTAAGGCTATCTGGCAGAGAAGATTTAGTGCAAAACACTTGAACATGCTTTACAACTGTCACCGTGGACTTAGGGAACAGATAATACTGTGCACCTTTTGGGATTTTCTCAGACCACATTATCTATATATGCCAAAAGAAAAAAAATAGTAAGCAAATAATGCCTTCTAAGATAAAACAAAAATTTAAAAGTGAAGAATAACTTTCCACTTATACAAGCATATAAAAGGATAAATTACTACTCATTTACCTCTATAGTTCAAAGATCTATTAAACCTAAAGAAAAACATGTGTCCCAATGTTATTTGGGATTAAAGAATATTCATATGCTGTTGGAGGCTTAGTAACTAAATATAGTAATTATTTTGGAGAAACATCATAGAAATGGTTAATCCTTTAAGCCTGTAATCCTTCTCCTAGGAATGAAAAGAAAGAAAATAGCCCTGGTTGGTGGCTCAATTGTTTGGAGCATCATCCATATACCAAAAAGGCTGTGGGTTTGATTCCTGTCAGGGCATATACTTAGGTTTTGGGTTCGATCCTTGGGGGGGGGGGGGGGGGGGGTAATGGGGGGGAGGTACATGTGGGAGGCAGCCTACTGATGTTTCTCTCTCTCCTTTCCTCTATCTCTAAAATAAAAAATTAAAAAACACACACATATCCTTGGGTGAGGATTTTTTTTAAAAAAAGGAAAGAATTCACAGTATAATAAAAATACAATGTGAAAAATGCTTTTTATGGCATTACTCATAATAAAATAATTGAAAGCTTAGTTTGAAGGTCAAGAAGAGATTTTCTCATGTATAGACTCAAGATAGCTGTTCAGTACTTGATGTCAAGGGATTAAGGCTTTCTCTTGGATGCCATTACACTAGGAAAAGAAAATAACTGATTTTATGACTGACTGTGTAGGAATAAAACTTGCTTAGGGAGAAACACCAGTTACTAATTACTGTGCTAAAAACTTTATACTATACAGTGGCAGTATTGTAAGGCACCTATCCAATATTCATTTTCTCCTTCTTACCAGAAATACTCCAATTCTGATTAGGGTGACAATCTGCCCAGCTAAAAATATTAGACTTTTCCAGACTCCCCAGCAACTATGGTAGCCTAACCAGTGAGATGCAGGCAGAAGTTCCTAAGAAAGTTGTTTCATTAGTAAAAAAAGCAAACTCTTACTGGTAGAAAGATACCTCTGCCCTTGGTCATTCCTCTCTATTTTCTGCCCAGGAAGAAGCAGGCAATTTTTTGTGACTATACGGCAAAATACTAAAGATAAAGCCTATGAGCTAACGGTGGCAGAACAGAAAAATAAAAAGAGCCCAGTCCCTAATGGCATTACTAAACTGCTATAGCATAGGCACAGCAGTTCATACTAGGGTATCTCCAAATGAAAACTGAGAACGACTCATTCTGCTGATGGCATTGTTGCTGATTTTGGGACCACTGAGTCTTCCTTGGACAATATGAATATCTGTTTAAAAAACAATAATGACTGTGTTTCATTCAAATATGTTCATTATTTTAAAAATTCAAGCCATAAAAATTATACAAAGAAAGTAACAGAACACCCAAAATCCTGGATATAAAGGAGACAGAGAGAGAGAGAAATTTATATAAGATTTAGAAAATATCATCTACATGTACTATTTAAAATAAAAAGATGTAAGATTAATTTATTTTAATCCAATATAAAAAGAAAAAAACTAAAGAAATTACTTCTCTATATCATATACTAAATATAAACACACTCATAAAAATTTCTAAATATGGAAAAATTTAAAATTTTAAGCAATCATTTAAAAAATATATATATTTCAGTTTTAGACAGTATTAGTGAATCTTCTTTCCATATGTATGTTAATATCTGTCCTGTACGCACATATAAATACACAGAATGTGAACTTTAATGTAACCAAACAGTACATATTATTTCATAACTTATTTTTAAGTTTACATACTATGAACATCTTTGCACACTGCACATTCTTCTGCAATATTGTTTTTAAGGATAAAATAATATTTCTTTTTTGGATTTACTGTAATTTAACAAATCCTGTATTACTTAACAGTATTTTCCTGATTTTTGTTTTTGCTATTATAACAATGCTGAGATAAACATAAAGACAATTTTTTCTCTCATAATTATTTATAGACTAATTGCCAAAGAATAAGTCAAGTATTAAAACATTTTTAGTTTTTTATATATGCTGTCATATATATCTCCAACAATGTACTACTGTAATTTAAACCTATTAAATAAAGCAAGTTCCTATTTCCATCCAGGGACCACTTCATATGATTTAGGCCAACATATCGATCATTATACATTTTTTTCATATATTTATTTGCCAATTGTAATTTTGTTGTTCTAAACTACTTCCTTGTCCATTTTTCCATTTTTGTGTTTTTCTTTTCACATTTAAGAGATTTTAAATATTAAATATATTAAGGGTTGTTATATATACAAAAAAAAATCTTTCCCTGGCTAGTATGGCTCAGTGGGTTGGGAATAATCTAATGCACAGAAAGGTTGCCTGTTTGATTCCAGTCAGGGCTCATGCCTAGGTTGCTGGCTCAATCCCTGGTAGAGGGTGTGCACAAGATAGCTAATTAATGTGTCTCTGTTTCCCTCTCCCTTCCTCTCTCTCTGAAAAAATTTTTTAAAAATCTTAAAATAAAAATCTTCCTTCTGTATTTCTTCCTTTACAATTTTAGCTAATTTAAAATATAGTACACTGTTTAAAAAAGATCAATATCAAATGTGAGGTTTGATGCTATAATTATTTTTTATATGAAAAGTATCACTGAATAGTACTTTACATTCTATTTTTTAAAAATATTTTTATTGATTTTTAGAGAGAGAGAGGAAGGGAGACTGAGAGAGATAAAAAAAAAAAATCATTGATGTGAAAAAACACCACCACTGATGTGAAAATGCAACATCAATTGGCTGGCTGCCTCCTGCATACCCACAACTGGGGATCGAGCAACCTGGGTATGTATCCTGACTGGGAATCAATACAGCAACCTTTTGGTGCATGGGATGACTCTCAACCAAGTGAGCCACACCAGCCAGGGCTATTTTATTTTTTTAAATAATAAAAATAAGAAAGCTGGATTGTAAAAAAGATATTTTACTTTAGTCCAGGGGAAAGGGAGTGGGGGGAGGGAGAGCTGGGGAGAGAGAAAGAGGGAGGGAGATGAGAGAAAGAGAGATAGAGATAGAGATAGAGATAGAGAGATAGAGATAGAGAGAGAGAGATAGAGAGAGAGAGAGAGAGAGTGTCTGTGTGTGGCAAAAGGACCTCTAGAGAGAAAATATAGGTAAGTTAAATCTTATTAATCTAAAAGTACATAAGCACCTTCTTCTGAGCTGAGATACTTAGTAATAGCTTGGAAACACTGCTTAAGGATTAGGAGAATCACATATCAGGAAGAAAAAAAAAGATTTAAATCTCTAGAAAAAGTCACTGTAACTTACAATGAACAAAGCACACAAGTTCTTAATTACTTCAAAAAAAGAGTAATTTTCAAGATTTAAAAATACCATGAGTGTTTAAGAACAACTTTTAGTTCAAGCTAAGAGACCTACCTACTACCTACATATTCTTAAAAGTGTATACTAAAAATTAAATGTTTTCTAACGCTGTGTTAACAAAAGACATTTCAAAAGTCTTTAGGGTATTTTCATAGATTTCAGAATTAAGATCATTTCTACATTGCAGATTAAGATGGCTCCCAAGATAGAAATAGCACATAACTTATGTACATAAACTCAGAATGGAACACTAACTTTCTGTGAGTGAAGCTAAAACAGTCTTTAAAATGGTTTATTAATATAATACTTAATGCAAGGTATAAAAGGATTATATAAATATGTAAACATCAAGTTTAAATTAGTTTCAAGAAATGGTTAGTTAGGGCTAAAACAAAGTCTAGTAATTTATCAGTGGTAAATAAGGTTCTAATCTATTATGAATAACTGAAATTGATTGATGTCAAGTATTATTTCTGATATATAAGAGTTTTCAGAAAAAAAGTACTATGAGTTAGGAAGTTAGCCTCAATAATTTTCCCTTTTTTAGTGGAGGGTGACTTATTTCTGAATCTAAAATGCCTAAAAACTTTTTTTCTTAGTGGGTTCAACAATGTCCACAAAAACTCAACTTTTTCTCATATATACCATATCCTATGCTCCCTATCATTGAGTATATTTCACTATTAAATGCTCCCCAAAAACATTAAGTCTGAAAGTGATGAGATTTGTAATAAACATTGAGAGAGTAAGGAAAAAAGATTAAAAAAAAATTTTTACTTGATTAGAAATCATGTTTGGTGAGAACTATGTGAATTTCTGCCCCAAAATGATAAAACTGAAATACAAAAATTTCTCTATTAGGGTGAAAGAAATGATATGAGCAAAACCAGAATAAAAGATAATTAACGTTTTACAGAAAACAACAAATTATTCTACCTGTGTCTGAATCTCTTTCTTCATTTCTTGATGGACTAATCGTAAAAGGAAGTTTACGTTTCATGGACGATTTCTCTTTCACCTCCTTGCCCACATCACTTCGATCAATTTTCGGAGTTCTGCTATAGGATGCAATCTTATCTTTACTCTATTAAAAATAAAATATAAATTATAACAATATTAGCTAAGCAATATAGTATTAAAAACCACTTTATGAAGGAACTTTTCAAACATACACAAAAGTACAGAGTGTATTATAAACCATCATTGTCCTCAATGCATTTAAGACTAATTTCAACAATTATAACTTTTTCTAATTTGTTTCATACTCCCATACTTTTACTTATTAATACCAACAAATATAAATTTGAAAAACTAATTCTGTATTTAATTAAACAGTGTGTTTTATTAATAACATGTGCTCAACCACTTAGGTGAAGTGTCCTACCCTCAAGGTCCACAGTTATTACCAAGATGTCTACTCTTATAAGCTAACATCCAAATTGGTGCAGCACAGCTAAACTGGGCTATGGTGATGACTCTTTTGTGAAAAATATGCTAGATACTAAAAACTAAGGGACATCACCTTAGCAGGAGAGTTTAAAAGAATAGTCTTCAAACAGGAATAAATAGACATTATAATTGTAGAGAATCTCAGAAGTAAAGTAGAAGTAGACTCAAATTGCAGAAAATACTAGCTTTCAACCCAAAACATAAAATAAACTGAAGGAAGGTCAAGGTGGGGGAAAAGGAACATAAAAATAAAAATACTAACTTTTTTAAAATATAGAATTTATCAATATCAAAAATGGTTCTAAAAAAGCAATAGAATATAACTTTGTGAGTTTAATAGTAAAAATGAGAGAGAAGAGGAAAATAAAACTTGAGAGGCCCAAATACAATTCCAGATGAGTTGTTAAAAAGATATAGAAAAATACTGTATTCATTTTTCAACAATTTAAAATTTAAGACCTGAAAAATGGATTATTTTCTAAACGTGCATTTCTAAAATTAGTTTATGAAAGAAAAATCCAAGGAACAGATATTTTCCATTTTATATAACTAATGGTATATAACATAAAAGATAAGAAGGTACCCAATTCATTTTTAAGTTTAAAATAAAACTGATACTGAAGAGTCCAAAACAGAAATTATAGACTAAATTGCTTATAAAATAAATCCAAACATAAATTATATTAAACAAATTGTGAAATAAAATTAGTATCTTAGCAAGATAATATAGTAAAACCTTGATATATTGGACTAATTTGGGAGTTGGGGTGTCTGTTAAAGCCAAAAGTCTGTTATATAATAAAGTATGTTTTCAGAACACATATGTTAAAAATTGACAAATTAGTTTACCTGTTTTTTATTTATGTAGACACACTTGTGTAATTAAAATTAAGTATGTATGAAAAGTTTAATTTCACATAGTTTTCTATATGTATTATCATAATTTTAAATTTATACTGAATAGTTCTAGTATCTGTGTACATTCACCAGTCACTGCAAGTAAAAATGCACACAGTTGGAGAATGGCTTAGTGCATGCATTAAAACTTCTGTAGAATGTCACGCCACGAGAAAACAGAACCAATTACATTGTGCACAGTGTGTTGTGATCACATGCTAATTATTCATCAACTATTGTTTAGGAGTGGTGACTTTTAGATTAAAATATGTAGACTATAGTTTTAGATATGTATATTTATTTATATAGGGGAAATTACCACAGTTTCCCCCCCCCCAACATATGGCCTATTTGCTAAAATTTGTTAAAAATAATAATGAATAACAAAAAATAATCTGTTAATTATAAGTAAATTGTGATTAAAATTATTTTAAAATTAACAGGGTGTTAGTTTTCACATATGACATATACACTGAGTATTTGGTTGGTTAAATCTGAGGTCTATAAAATTGAGGGTCACAAAATTGAAGGTTTATTGTACTAGTATATCATAGTCAAGCAGGATTCATCCAAAGAATGTAAGAATAGTTCATTATTAGAAAATCTTATAGAGATTCATTGCATCAAAATATTAAAGAAAGCCCTGGCAGGTGTGGTTCAGTTAGTTGGATGTCATCCATGTACTGAAAGGGTTTGATTCCAGGGTCAGGGCACATGCCCAGGTTGCAGTGCTCCATCTCAGGTAGAAGACAGCCTACTGATGTTTCGCTCTCCCGTCAATGTTTCTCTCCCTTGCCCCCACTTCCTCTCTCTCTAAAAATCAATAAAATAGTATTTTTAAAATATCAAAGAAAAACCAGTGACAGCTGATATCATCTGAATAGACTACATTAATTCTTAATAAATCAATTAGCAAATTAGGAAAAGAATGTAACTACCTTATATCTTAAGTGGCAAAGATTGCTTAAAAATAAAAGCCTCTTATTTATTTCCCAGTTATAAAGTAAAATCCTCTTGTTTTTTTCTTCTTTCACTTCTGCCAATGAAATGGAGCTTCACAGGCATGCATTTTGTTTATAAAGATTCTTTAAAATGTAGGTTTAATTATTATTCAGGTACAAGAGGCTCAGTGCTCAGATTCGTGCATGGAATCACCATCTCCTAATCTGGGACCCCTTGGGAAATGTTGGACTGCTGATTTCAGTCTGATCCCCACAGGCCACCCTGAGGGACCCCACCGATGGGACCCTACGGATGCGATCCCACCAATGTATGAATCCATGCACTGGGCCTCTAGTATGCATATAAGATCTTCGGTTAATCTCTTCCTGCCCTTCTCCCTCCCCCGTCCCCTCTGAGATTCATCAGTCTGTTCCATGTTTTCATGCCTGTGCGTTGAGCATCTGCCCCCCGGTGGTCATTGCACGTTATAGCTACCAGTCAAACAGTGGAACAGTTGAATGAACGGTCACTTAGGCTTTTAATAATTAATGTCTAGTAATAATTAATGTCGTTTTTAAACATTCGTTTAAAATCTTGCTTGGCGCTGACTTGTATTGACATAACCTTCAAACACGTGGTATCTACAGAACGTGTGAAGTGCAATTAACAAGTTTTGCTTGAAAAAGTTTGTGTTTGGTTTGGTTTTTGTTGCAAAACTAGGGCTAAGAAGATGGCAGATGAAGAGCATATTCGGCACTGCATGCTTTACGAGTTCCAATTAGGAAGAAAAGCAAGTGAGGCTGCAAAAAACATCTGTAGTGCTCTTGGTCAAGATGCAGTTAGTGCCAGAAAATGCCAGTGTTGGTTTGAGAAATTTCGCGAGGGAAATTTTTCGTTAGATGACAAGAGTGGTCGAGGCCATGTGTCCAATTTTGATCAAGAAGCTCTTCAAGCTCTTTTGGTGCAAAATCCTCAAATTACCCAACAAGAGCTTGTGACAACTTTAAATTGTTCACAAAAAACAATTTCCAATAATTGCGTGCACTTGGCAAAGTCCAAAAGTTTGGAAAATGGGTTCCTCATGAGTTGACCGACAACAACCGTAATCAAAGAGTCACAATTTGCAGTTCGCTCCTCTCTCGTCAAAACCGTTTGCCGTTTTTAGAGCAAATTGTTACCGGAGATGAAAAATGGGTGCTGTATGTTAATTTGAAAAGGCGGCCTCAATGGTTGGACAAAAATGAGGCTCCGCAGCCCACGCCAAAACCTGACTTGCATGCGAAAAAAGTGATGTTGTGTGTTTGGTGGAATTTTAAAGGAATTCTTCATTATGAACTTTTACCATCTAACCAAACCATTACAAGTGCAGTGTATAGTGCCCAATTGGAAAGGTTAGCCCAAGCTTTAAGAGAAAAAGAACCCGCGCTGATTAATCGGAAGGGCGTAATTCTTCACCACGATAACGCACGACCGCATACTGCAAGAATCACTGCTGAAAAACTGCGCCAGTTGGAATGGGAAGTTCTCCCTCAACCTGCATATTTTCCTGATATTGCCCCTTCCGATTACCATTTGTTTCATTCTTTGCAAAACTTTCTTCTTGGAAAAAAATTTAATAATGAAGAATGCCTCAAAAATGCATTGACCGAATTTTTTGCAACAAAATCACAAGAATTTTACAACAGAGGGATTAAAATGCTTCCTGAGCGTTGGGCACAAGTAGTAGAAAACAATGGCAACTATATTGTTGATTAAATTTTGTTGTATTATTTAAATAAATTCGATTTTAAAAAAAGTATTAGAAAACGACATTAATTATTACTAGACCTATATAGAGTATATACCAGATGCTCAGTGCATAAAATTCACGCACAAGTTGGGGGGGGGGGGTCCCCTCAGTCCGACCTGTGCCCTCTCACAATCCGGGACCCCTTGGGGGATGTCTAACTGCCAGATCGGGCCTAAACTGTCAGTCAGACATCCTTCTCACAATCCAGGACCATTTGCCCCTATCCATTTGCCTTCCTGACAGCTCACCCCTAACCGCTCGCCTGGCTCAAAAGGTACTAGGGACATAGAGGGAGAAACTGAATTGTCCAGCATTAGGGTGAGAACTGGAGGGGCAGTTTTCTAACAGACAGAAGTGCTGGCAGAGGTCATTGCTCCTTTTCTGAAACTCCCTCTACAGAGCCAGTAAGCACTCACCATATCTATCTCCATCATGATGGCTAACAATGTTTGCCTAGACCTGATGATTATCTGAGAGCCCACCCCACCCAACTTGAGAGCCCACTCAAATTGTTTCCAGAGGCTTTTTCATACAAATAGTCATGGTTCATGCTTTAAGCCTTCCTAAAATCTCTCAAGTAGAATCAAACAAGTTCCATCTGGCCTCCATGTACCCCATACCTCTTGCTAAGTGGCCCAAGGCCTGGCACTAGCAGCAGCTGGAGTTGGTTTGTAGCTTTGCCTTGCCTTGCACCTCCAACCCCAGTACAAGTAGCAGTCTTCTGCAAATCATTTTGTAGTTCATACTGGGTAGCAAAACACAGATGGCAGCTGACCTTGACCTGCACCTCTGGGGAGATCCGAGCCAGTGCACCTGGTGGACAGCTTCAGAGCACACTGATGCACCACCCAACCACCTCCACAAGAGACACACTCAAGGAGGCACCAGAGCCCTGCTGAAGTAAATCCTGCTCTATAGTGTGTTCTCTTGCACAGCTTGTCCTTCTTGGTGGGCCCAGCCAGTCTTTACTGCTTATAGGTGTGGAGATAAATCCCTTCCATTGACATGCCAACAGCAATCAAGGTTCAACTACAACAGGAAAGTGTATATAGTGGGGAATACCTGAAAAGCTCAGTTCAGGAGTGGGAATGCTGTGCCACTATACCCTCTAGGACAGCTACTACATTAGGCCACTCTACCAAGCATGGGAGATGTAGCAGCTCTACCCAATACATAAAAACAAACACAGGAAGGCTGCCAAAATGAGGATATAAAAAATCATGTCCCAAATGAAAGAACTCCAGAAAAAAACCCACAAAAACTAAACACAACAAAGACAGCAATCGACTAGATGCAAAATTCAAAACACTGGTTATATGGATGCTCAATGAACTTAAGGAAAGAGTAGATGAACTTAGTTAGAACTTCAACAGCATAAAAAAGGACATGGAAACCATAAAAAAGAACCAGTTAGAAATAAAGTATATACTGACATGAAGAATAACTTACAAATAATTAACAGTTAAGTAGTTCAAATAAAGAATCAAATCAGATGTTTGGAATATAAGGAAGCAAAAAATACCCAATCAGAACAGCAAAAATAAAAAAGAATTTTTAAAAAATGAGAATGTTGTAAGGAGCCTCCTGGGACGACTTCAAGTATACCAACATTCATACCATCAGTGTACCAGAAGGGGAAGAGAGAGAGAGCAAAAATTGGAAATCCTATTTGAAAAAATAATGAGGGAAAACTTCCCTGACCTGAGAGAAATAAACATTCAAGTCTAGGAAGTGCAAACAGTTCCAAACAAAATGAACCCAAAGAGATCCACAATTAAGATACATCATAATTAAAATGCCAAAGGTTAAAGACAAAGTAGAAAGAGAAAAGCAGTTAGTTACCTACAAGAGAGCTCCCATAAGACTGTAAGCTGACTTCTCAACAGAAACTTTGCAGGCCAGAGGGACTGGTAAGAAATACTCAAAGTGATGCAAAGCAAGGAAGAACAACCAAGATAACTCTACCTAGCAAAGCTATCATTTAGAATTAAAAAACAGATAAAGAGCTTCCCAGATAAGAAAAAGCTAAAGTAGTTCATTGCCACCAAACCATGACGTGAAATATTAAAGGGTCTTCTTTAAGAAGATAAAATATATGAACAGTAAAATGGCAATAAATACATATCTATCAACTACTGAATCTATAATACAAAATAAACAAACAAGCAGAGAAGAAACAAGTGGGGTGGGCTCTCAGATAATCATCAGGTCTAGGCAAACATTGTTAGCCATCATAGATACAAAAAGTTTTGATGGCTACCAGAGAGGAGGGAGTTTGAGGGTAAGTAAAAATAGTAAAGGGATTAAGAAGTACAAATTGGTTGTTACAATACAATCATGGGGATGTAAAGTATATAACAGGGAATATAGTAATAAAACTCTAATAACTATGGTGTCAGATGGTATGAGATTTATTGGGATGATCAATTTGCAAATTATATAATGTCTAATCACTGGAGTGTACACCTGAAACTAATATAATTTTGTATGTCAACTTTAACTTTTAAAAAATGACCTAAATTAAAAAAAAATGAAGGTAAAAGAAAGTCTTACTGGCTCATGATGTCTGAGTATAATCTTTGACCAATCAATGGCTGCTGGCTTATCTATGCAGACACAGGGGCAATCCCTAGGAAGCAAGACGAGAGGAAGCAAGACGAGAGGGAGGGAGAGAGAGAGAGAGAGAGAGAGAGAGAGAGAGAGGGAGAGGGAGAGGGGGGGGGGGAGGGGGAGGGGGAGGGGGAAAGAGGAGAGAGGAGAGAGGGAGAGTGGGAGAGAGGGAGAGAACCAGTATCATGACAAATACCACAGGTAAGCTCCTGACAGTTTACTAAAAACAAATCAAAACAATAACCTATCAACAATGACAATGTCCTTGGGAAGTAATGAGAATGAATCTAGGGCTGCTATGACCTAAATTCTTCAGTTTTTAATAAAAATTAAGATATATAAAAAGGCAAGGAATACATATTCAATAGAATCCTCTCTGAGTGAGCCCAGATATTAGATGTGGCAAGACTAGAAAGCAATACAACTCTTTTTAATGAAATAAAATATGACAACAATGACATCAAATAGAAAATATGAATTTTAAAAAGAGCCAAATGGAAATACTGGATTTTAAAATACTAATTGAAAATGTATTAGATATGTTCAACAGAAGATATGAGATAGCCAAAAAGGAAAGAAAAAGATAAATGAAACACCCCAAATTTCATGAAAAACCATTAATTTATACATCCAGGAAACCAAACAATCCCTCATAAAATAAGGGAGTGTAAACACAATACAGTTAAACTGTTTAACAGTTTTCTCATCAGAAACAGTTAAAGCAGGAAAGAAGTGGGATGACACATTTAATCTAATTAAAAAAAAAGACAACTAAAAATTCAAGTATCCAACAAAACTATCCTTCGAAAATAAAGGCAAATTATCATGAAAGACCACCTATTGCATACTTTCATTTATATTAAATATTCAGAATAAGCAAGTCTATCTATATAAAAAGTAGACTGGTGATTGCCTACGGCTATGAAAGTTGAGGCCAGAACAGTGAGGACTGCTAATGGGTGCAGGTGAAAATATTCTAAAACTGATAGTAGTGAAGATTGTGCAACTCTGTAAATACAGTAAAAATTCCTGCACTATACACTTTGAATGAGTAAATTGTATGGTATATGAATTATAGCTGAATAAAACTTTGTTTTCTTAATGGCAAAATCAAGATAGTCCTAGATCAATGAAGACAGAGAAATCACAGATGAAGATTTTACAATAAATACTAAGGAAAATTCTCAGAGAGTGAAAGGAAATGATACTGACAATAACTTTAATCCATAGAAAGAAAGAAAGAGTGCCAAAATTGGTAAGTATGTAGGTATGTAGGTAAAAACAAAAACCAGTAGAAAGTCATTTTCTTTTCTTCTCTTATTTCTTTAAAAGAGAAGATTGTATAAGATAATTATAACATTCTGTTGTCGCATTAATAAATATAGATATAATCTATATTGCAGATAACATGAAAAGTAGCAAATGAAGCCATAATGGAGCAACATTGCTATTTTTACTGGAATTAAGTCAATATTAACGTGTAGTAATGCACATTATAATCCCTAGATCAATATTTTAAAGATTATAATTCAAGAAACATTCTTCAAAAGACACAGAAATTTAAATAACACAATGAAAAATATCTTTTAAAAGGCAGCATAGATAAGAAACAAAAACATAAAATATGTAAGAGCAAAATAGCAGATAAATACCACCTTATCAACAATTACAGTAAATGTGAGATTAAACACTACAGTAAAAAAGCAGAAAGTGCCAGTGCAATCAGCAAGAAATAAAAGTATCCATATTTAATAAGGAGTAAAATTATCTTTATATGCCAATTACATCATCTCATTTGTAGAAAATCTTAAGGAATCCACAAAGTTTTAAAAACAAAAAAATGAGATCAGTAAAGTCACTGTTGATATAGGATCACTATATAAAAAACAATTACATTTCTACTAGAGGCCTGGTGCACGAAATTTGTGCACGGGGCAAGGGATGTCCCTCAGCCCAGCCTGCACCCTCTCCAATCTGGGACCCCTCAAGGAATGTCCAACTGCTGGTTTAGGACCAATCCTGGTGGAATCAGGCCTAAACGGGCAATTGGACATCCCTCTCACAATCCAGGACTGCTGGCTCCCAACTGCTCACCTGCCTACCAGCCTGATCACCCCCTAACCACTGCCCTGCCAGCCTGATTGATGCCTAACTGCTCCCTTGCCGGCCTGATTGCCCCTAACTGCATACCCCTGCAGGCCTGGTTGCCTCCAACTGCCCTCCCCTGTAGGCCTGCTCACCACTAACTGTCCTCCCCTACTGGCCCAGTCACCCCTAACTTCCCTCTCTTTCTGGCCTTGTTGTACTAACTTCCCTTCCCTGCCAGCCTGATTGCCCTTAACTGCCCTCCCCTGCAGGCCTGGTTCCTCCCCCGCAACTGCCCTCCTTACAGGCCTGGTTGCCCCCAACTGCCCGCCCCTGCAAGCCTGGGTCCCCCACAACTGTCATCTCCTGTAGGCCTGATCATCTCTAACTCCCCTCTCTTGGAGGGCTTGTCCCTACCAACTGCCTTTCCCTGATGGCCTGATGGCCTACAACCGCCCTCTCCAGCCAGCCATCTTGTAGTGGCCGTTTTGTGTCCACATGGGGGCAGTCATCTTTGACCACATGGGGGCGGTAATCTTGTGTGTTGGGAGAGATGGTCAATTTGCATATTGCTCTTTTATTAGATAGGATATCCTAGCCAAGAAAAACCCAAAATGAAATTATCTACAGTAGTGTCCAAAAGAATAAAACAGGAGTAACTGAACAACTGAAGCACATGATTTGTACACTGAAGATGACAAACCATCTCTCAGAGAAGCTAAAGATCTAAATAAATGAAGAGATATTTTATGAGGATGGATAGGAAGACATATTGTTAATATGATAATACCATTCAAGTGATCTACAGATTCAATAATATCCTTATTAAAACACCAACAGGCTTTTTTCTAAAAGGAAGTGACAAGCTAATCCTATGAAAATACAAAGGACTTTGAACGGCCAAAACAATTTTTGAAAAGAAGTTTGAAAACTTACAATTCCTGATTTTAGAAGCAGATTTAGGGTTTATCTGTGGGTTGGGATAGGAACAGACTGATTGTAAATGGATGTGAGGATCTTTTAGCAATGATGGAATGGTCTAAACTAGTTTGTGATGATGGTTGCACAACTCTTTTTCCCAGTTCCAAGAGTAAACAAATCTTTAGTATATCATACCTTTCTTCCATATGGTTTTTCTACCATATTGCTGTCACTGTCAGAATTTTCACTCTGAACTGGTTTTGTGAACCCAGATTTGGGCATTTTATAGCTCTTCAGCTAGCTTCTTCTTTTATCAGTCTTCTCATTCTGGATCTGTAAAGAATGGATATATAAGGGTTATGTATATTCCTCCGCAATAAAACCTATTTAAGGTTTATGCAGTTTATGCAATTTGGTTTTCTCTATGTCTTCATAAGATAATTTATTTCTTCAGGGAGGCTATCATAACCTAAAATAAGTTTTCATCAAATTGTGCCTCGAAAGCTTTCTTGTTCAAGTCCACTCGACTTGACACTAAAGAGGAAAAAAAGGGAACTACATTTATAATTCTTCCCACCTTCCCTAGACTAATTTTACATCTCCAGTATTCTGGGTAACAGAAGCAACTGAGTGGAAGCAGTGACAAAGGTTTTGTCATTTGAGCATGGCTCCAGAAGTAGGAACTCAGAATATATTCTATGGCAGTTCTGTTATTGGTCTGGCAGTTATTTCTGATGGTCCAACTAAGAACCTTATAGGTTTGATTGGTAATTTTACAACACTTAACTCTATTTTAAATTAAATAAAATTAATTAAGCCCTTCTTTTTAAAAATAAATGTTTTTATTGGTTTTTAGAGAGGCAGGAAGGGGGGGGAGAGAAATATCAATGTGAGAGGATACATTGATCATTGCCCGCCCCCCCCTCCCCCAACCTGCATCCTGTCATGTTCCCTGACTGGTATGACCTTTCCGTACATGGGAAAATGCCCAACCAACTGAGCAACACTGGCCAGCGCTAACCTTTCTTACTTAAAATCCTGAAGTGGTTTATTTTCCTTCACCTAACTTCCAGACATCACCAGGGCATTTAGTCACTTTATTGACCTATTCACTGATTTAATCCTTATCATACTGCACTGTAATTATCACTATATGTATCATTTCCTTTCCAATTTTTTCAGCCTTCAACTCTGCAAGCTTTAACAGGGCAAGGACCCTTTTATAAGCTTATGCTTATGTCCAAGCTTGAGAGGTTTAGAAAAGTTCCAAGGGGGAAAGCCATGAAGTTGCTGTATGACAATGGTTCTCAACCCATCTAATGCTGTGACCTTTTAATACAGTTCCTCATGTTGTGGTGACCTCCAACCATAAAATTATTCTGTTGCTACTTCATAACTGTAATTTTACTACTGTTAATGAATCGTAATGTAAATTATCTGTGTTTTCCGATGGTCTTAGGCGACCCTAGTAGCGGTTCTCAACCAGTGGGTCATGATTCACAGGTTGAGAACTGCTGCTGTAGAACCTAAGACCATCGGAAAACACAGATATTTACATTACGATTCATAACAGTATTAAAGGGACTCGGCATTAGAAGGGTTGAGAACCATTACTGTATGATAACCTATCAGCCATATGTGGTTGTTGCAAGTTAAAATAATTAAAATTAAATTATGGACTACCCAGTGCAGACATAACAATATTTCTATTATCACAGAAAGTACTATTGCTCAACAATGAACTACACTGAGGCTGCTGGCCAATGGGACCATGAATTGGGCCACAACAAGCAGAATGACTGACATGCTTTAAATTTCCTATAAATGGACTCAAAGATCTAAAAACGCTACATTCTAGTATCTATGTGAATTATTATTATAATATCAGACATATACTCAGGTGAGGATAAAAAAGAAAAGAAAAAAAATAATGTCATATCCTATGAAAGACACATCTTAAAAATGCCGAAATAAAGTTGCAATTTTTTCATGGTGAAGGGACTGGAGTCTGTGTTGATGAAAACACCTTGGTGGCTGCGGTTGCTGGCAGTGGCTGTAGCAGGGGGGTGGTGATGGGGCTGGCACCTTCCCCTGATCTCCCTAGATTGTGAACACAAGCTGCAGCCACCAGCCAGTTTTCCTGCCTGTGATCTACCACCGATTATCAGGAACCAGAGATTTAACAGGTCTTATTACTTCTCCTGGTACAGGTTGGTGAAGGACCAGCTGCTGACAGCAACCAAGGACCTCAGTTCAGTCCTGAATGGGCTTTTCCAATAATTGCAACCAGATTATCAGTCTCTGGTTTCCTTGGGCAACCCCTAAATGTGAATTTCTTACTGTATAACCTCACCCTTACAGGGGCTGCCATCCAAAACTTTGGACATAGATCCCAGCAACATTTAATGGCCATGTAAGAAATACAATAAAATTTGAAATTCTTGCCATGAAAAAAAAAGATCATAGAGTGCATTTATACAAACCTAAATTGTATAGCATACTACATATCTAGGCTATATGGTATGGCAGCTTATTGCTCCTAGGCCATAAACCTATACCGCACATTACTGTATTGAATACTGTAGGTAACTTTATTTGATAAACATAGAAAAGGTACAGTAAAGCCGAAACCGGTTTGGCTCAGCAGATAGAGCGTCGGTTTGCGGACTGGAAGGTTCAATTCCGGTCAAGTGCATGTACATTGGTTGCGGGCACATCCCCGGTAGGGGGTGTGCAACAGACAGCTGGTCGATGTTTCTCTCTCATTGACATTTCTAGCTTTCTAGCCCTCTCCCTTCCGCTCTGTGGAAAATCAATAAAATATATATTAAAATAAGAAAAGGTACAGTAAAAATGTGGTATATATGATAAACAACGGTACACTTGTACAGGTATATGACTGGAGCCTGTAGGACTGAAAGCTGCTCTTGGTAAATGATTGTATAATGAATGTGAAGGCTTAGTACATTGCTACATGCTATTGTAGACTTTATAAACACTGTTCCATAAACCTTACCTGCTTACTTTGGAAAAGGTCAGAAACAGAACACCAAAGCTGTCAATGCTATTCCATGAAAAAGAGTGTAGGCTGGACTAATTGGAAATTATCGAGGAAAACACCCCTAAACAATCCAGAACTAAAATTCTACAAAACATTAACATGCTTGTTGGGAAACTTGGGGGTAAGGGGTAGAGTGGAAGAGACTAGAGATGAGTGAGAAAGTGATTAAAGTACTTGTCTTCCTTGGAGGAATACACACACACACACACACACACACACATATGCTGGGTGTCCCAAAAAATGTATACATTGAATAATTAAAAAGGTGGTATTCATTAAAATACATTTTGTTGTAAAAATGCTATCGAAACTACAGACATTCTGTATATATACATACACACACATATATTTGAGATTAAGAAACTGATTGTGGGAAATAAGTAGAAGTATAGTAAATAAAATATAAATAATTTTCAATATATGTTATTACAATAAATGAAAATGGATTAAGGTCGTTAATAAAAATATAATTCTGTAAGGTTATATAAAAATAAGATTCAGCAATATACTTTGTAAAAGAGACCACAAAGAGTACTCAAAGGTTAAAAATAAAATAATTGGAAGAAATTTTATCAGGAAATATAAACTCAGGCTGGAAGATTAACTTTTTTTAAAGGCCCCATTCATGAATACAATTCAGATTCTTCCTGATCTGGGCTCAGCTCCCTGCTATTCCTGGGCCTGTAGATTCCAGTACTGCATTAAAACTCACACACTAAGAAGTATCTGTCTATTTTCCTTTTAGGACAGGGCTTAAATATCTGTTTTCTATTATGACTTTGAATTCCTCTTTCCTATTTAGGCACCTGCAGATTCATATTTTTTTCTCTGAAGCTGAGCTGTGTATTTTTTTTTTAATGTTTTATTTTTATCTAGCATTTCCATATATCTGAAAAAAGGAGCTCCCTCAGTAGTCCACCTTTTTGTCCTGAATCCTCAAAACATGCACTTTAAATACAAATGAAAACAAAATCCAAGTTATTTAATTTATTCATCTGTCATGAATTGAAAAAGCTCAACTGTTAAGGCTATAAGAACTAAAATGATGTCTTAGCACAGTACTTGATGTACATAAAAATATTCAAATGCTGCTCTATAAATTTATCAATTTTATATTCTACCTAAAGAAAGTAAAGGCAGAGAACCATAAAAATGAAATGGAAATTCCTAACATTTTTGTTATTCCAGCTTTCACTGAGCTAAAGTTGCTGTGGGGGTAAAAAATGCTTCCTCCAAAATTATTTTTTAAAATATATTTTAATTGATTTTCTACAGAGAGGAAGAGAGAGGGATAAAGAGCTAGAAGTATCGAGAGAGAATCATTGATCAGTAGCCTCCTGCACACCCCCCATTGGGCATGTGCCGCAACCAAGGTATGTGCCCCTGACCGAAATCAAACCAGGGACCTTTTAGTCCGCAGGCCAACGCTCTATCCACTGAGCCAAACCGGTTTTGGCTCCTCCAAAATTATTGAGAATAAAGGCAACTGGCAAAGGATCAAATCACAGCAACAGAAATCAATGATCCTTTTAACAGTCATTCAGTTAGGAAAATGACCATTGCTTTGTCCGTGATTTGAGCAGGGAACTTGAAGTCCACTATTCTATTCTGAGATCTACCACCGACTTTTTAGTTGACTTTCATCAATACTCAATATTCCTGTTTCTTCTTCTTTTTTAATATATTTTTATCATTGATAGTATTATAGATCCTGTTTCTTCTTAAAAGTTAGGTTAGATGACACTGAAGATCTCTATCCTTCCAAAATTCCAATTCCAGAGTAAGAGGTTTAGAAAAATTTCACTCCAAATTCTGTATTTCTACAAATGCAAAAATGATAGCTTAAATTATAAAATAATTATTATCTCCCCCAGACAGAAAAGAATAAACATTTAGAATAAAGAATAAACCAAAATAAAAACTAAGTATTTCCTATTAAACAAACACCAAAGAGCTTAATTCCGTCATCATACTTTAAAAAGTGGTTTTAAAAAAATAATGGAAAAGGCCTCAAAATAAATGGTGTGCTTCTGGAACATCACCAGATTCCCCTATCTCTTCCTTCCCATCCCCTCCTACCATTACAGTAACAACTTAAACCATGCAAGGGAGAATTTAGACCTTGAAAAGGAAGAGTGCTTTCTTTATCACATCTTCCCACGTTGATTTTCACCACAATGTTTTCTGGCAGCTATTCCATACCATTTTCCCATAAGAATATGATGGTTGTGCTGAAACCGGTTTGGCTCAATGGATAGAGCATCAGCTTGGG